AAAAAGCAATGCAAATTCCAATTATTTATCTTTTAACGTTACTTGCTTCTACTAACCTGTGCTTCAATTTGCAATTTATAAATGAGTACTTTAGTTAGCTAACACACACACATAATTCCAAATAACTTTTCTTAAATGTGTTTAAGTATAATGAATATAAAGATGACAATCATAACAGTAATGACAATAGAAGCTGCTCTCAAACAACCTCATAGCACTGTTGTATCCAGAGCCACAAAATTCAGTCTGCACAGCATCACTTACAAACGATGATAGGAAACTTCTCAGAGGAAAGTCACAATTGCACCTCTAAAACAAGGCATCTGCAAACCAATGCGTTCACAAGCAATCAGAGTTCTCATTTAATTAATAATAACCTGAACATTCTCAAGAATCACCTCCAACCTTAATTTATGGCACCCCAATGGGAAATCCGTTCTGCCTGGGGATTCCCTACTGGAACTTCCTCTATAAAAGTGTCAATTCTAATGGATTACACCCTCAATCCTACTGTTTCACAAGATGAGAGGGGAGCTTTAAGAGCCCATGTTAAATTCCCTGCTGAAAATGTCTATTACTTTCTCGGCTGACTTGCAGAGTACTCCACAAATAGATGTGAAAGACTTGCTGTTCAGTACCAAGAATTAGACAAAATTTCTGTCCTTTATTATGGTATATTTCATGAGCCCCAAGCTTTTATATGTACTTAGTAACATGTTATGTACTCTCTCCATAATGTGTATCTTCTTTGCTTGGACAATCTCTTTTAATAATGTGATTCATATTAATAGAGTCCTAAGGTCTAGAATGGCAATGAGTTAAAAAGATTTCACCATATAATTCCAAAAAAAATCAAATTTTTCACACATGGGTTTCTAAAGATAACTTAAGACAGAAAATCAGCTCTTCAGAGTATGGTAAGCAGAATGACAGATTCCCAAAATATCCATGCCTAAGCCACAAGGCCGGTGAGTAGATCACCTTGCATGACACAGGAGACTCTCAGACAGGTATCAGTAGTGTTGAAGACTTTGAGATATCGAGATTAGCCTGAATACCCAGACGGGCTCAGTTCTATTGGAAGAGTCAAGGCAGGAATATGGGTCAGAGCAGACAGGAAGACTGTCCCCTAGCAACACTGTTGCTTTTGGGCAAGAAGAAAAAGATGGTCATGTAAGGTGGAAGCCTCCAGAACCTAGTAAGGGTGAGGAAAAGGAGTCCCCAGAGCCTTCAATAAGAAGTACGGCCCTGTAAATACTTTGACTTGGGCACAGCGAGACTTGTATTATTTTGATTTTGATTTTCCTATGAGTCTTATGTAGCCTGGGCTTACCTTGAACTCCTGATCCTCCTGAGTGCTAAGATTTACCATGATAATCAGCTTCATGATAGGGTGTGTGTGTGTGTGTGTGTGTGTGTGTGTGTGTGTGTGTGTGTTGTAGGCAGGCATTCACATACATTCATGCTTGTGCACATGGAAGGTAGAGGTTGACATCAGAATATCAGATGTCATCTTCTTTGGCTTGCCACCTTATTTTTTTATGGCAGAGGCTACAATTAAACACGCAGCCTTCTATTTTTGGATAGACTTACTAGCTAGTGGCCCCTGGCATCTAACAGTCTCCTCACCCCTTCCTCCCACTCTGGAGATACAGGCACATGCTGCTGTACCCAGCTTTTACGTGGATGTTCAGGATCCAAACTCAGATCTTCATGCTTATACAGCAGGCGCTTTACCTGCTGAACCATACCATTATCTCCTAAACTACAAAACTTTAAGATAATTAATATATCTATTTTGGGTAAGCCATGTTTGTAAACAGAAAATGAACACACAATGCACAGCTTGTTTATTTGCAACAACAGCAAACTAATTTAAAAAATAGACTCTAGAACTCAGCTCCAGCATCAAAATCCAGGTTGCTTCTTAATCAGCTATGTAGATTAAAGACAATCATTAACCTTGCTGTGCCTCAGTTTTCCTGCATGTAAATGAAGCTACTAATAATACCCATCTCAGTTAATTCAAGTAAAGCACTTCAAACATTACTTCCCACCTAGAAAGCAATAAACACTTCTTAAATTAGGTGGTTACTAACATGAATCAATATTATAACATAACTTTACTGTCTTTTGATGGAAGATGTCATTCTGTATATATGTCTCTCATACTGGTTAATGAATAAAGCACTGATGGCCAATAGGAAAGCAAGATAGGCAGGACAAGGAGACAAGGAGGATTCGAGGAAGTAGTAAGGAAGAGTCAGCATGTAGAGTTCCAAGATGGTGGACTGAGAGAGCAGAACGCCAGCCACTCTCTCGTAAGATAAGACCACATGGAAGTACTTAGATTAATAGAAATGGGTTAATAATTAAGACAGTGCTAACCGATAAGAAACAAGTAACTGGCCAACAGCATTATATCAAATACAGAGTCTCAATGCGTTAATTGGGGCTGGCGTGGCGGTGGGACCAGACCTGCAGGAAAACCTACTGGTAACAGTCTTTTTCAATCACACCCAGGAAAGTCATAAAATCAACAGTATCCAAAACAGTCAAGGAAATAAACCCTTCTAAAGTGGAAGACTTGCACACATCTCTAAATGTGGTTTCTACAATGATCTTGCTCTACTTAAGATAGCATGAGGGTCTTCCAGAGTTTTCTAATAATAATGAAAGTCACTATGGGAACATGAATTCCACTACATGACATTGTTAATTCCAGGACCTGACAGACTAAAGTGTCCATTAGAAAGTAAAAGCTGTCTTATTAAAAATAATAAATGTAACAAGTTGGCACTTAAATCTTATTTCAAATGTATACAGCACTTTCATTTTACAAAGCTGACCTGTAATTTTGTTATAAACAATTAAAATTTGTTATTTCAATTGGACAATGACTCAACAACATTGACATAAATTAATATAAACAGGCTAAACAGGATGGTTTACTTAAAAATATAAACATATACTAACTGGCAATTTCAAAAAAAGGTAAGTAAAATACAGATCAAAAGTAAATGTGTATACTTATTTTATACTTCTGGACTCTCCAATCCCTTACAGAAGTATCAAAAGCTCAAAGAAAAGAAACACTGTATCAGGCAAGAGGTTCAGAAAAGCAATCACCCTGAGGTGCAGAGTGAGTTCAAAGCCTGTCTATCCAAGTTAGCAAGGCCTTGTCTCAGAAATAAAAAAGTAAAAAGAGAGTTTAGAGCACAGCAATGGAGTACTTCTCTGGCATGGGGCATGCCCTAGGCTTAACCCTCAATAGCAATAAACTAATATGTATCCAAAGGTAACAACACGCATCACTATCTTTTAAATTAAAGGCTTTGAGGGCTTTGGCTGCCACCTGAAAGTACCTGCAAAGCCCGCAGAAATCATCCACTCCTCTTCTGCCCAGCCAATGGTATGAAGGCACAGAAACCTCCATATACAGTGGCCCCAAAGCTGTGGGGCCACTTAACTCTACAAAAAAGCCTTTTGAGCCACTCCAGAAGAACCTTCTAAAACTTTACATTCAGAATCAAAATTAAGTCTTCTCATGCCAACCTTAAACATACAAGGAAATGGCACTCCTTTATCTTATTCAAAGAATACTAGGTTGCTCAAAATAAATAAATAAATTACTTCTGAACACTGGCATGGGTGCATTTGGAAATGGTGAGGCCAGTGGAAAGTACAGAAGGAGCCATGTCGCCAGGCACCAGTTCTATAGTCAGAAGCTCTTTTGGACTAGAGATGAAATGTAACCCATCTAACAATAGAGTAAAAGCCCATAGGGAGGCAGACAGGAGCCACCTCAGGAGACAAAGCCCCTAACTTTCTCATTAAAAGCATACATTCAACATTTTTGCCACAAAACACCAGATCATGTCATAAGTAAACAAAAGTAAGGACACAGCAGCCAAGCTCAAACTAGAAGGGTTCAAATGGATACAAATAGCAATGGTTGGGAGAGGTTATCATCAAAGAGATTAAACCCTCTGATTACTTTCACTTCTAACATGTGGGTTAGAGGTCACATTGCAGATACATGAAGACTACCATGACCGACTACAGCCTGCAGCCTGGCAACTGTGTCTCCATATTGTGCTTGCCCTTCCGCTGCCTGAGTATTTGAGCCACACTCTACTCAGCTCTGTACGTGATGGAATATTTGATGCTGCTGTCTTGCCCAAGACAACACTACACATTATTTGGCCTATAAGCCCTTGAAGCTAGTGTGTGTTTAATCCTAACTCTGTGCTCTTTAGGCAGCCCATGGCACCATCAACAGGCACAGTAGCACATACAGAAGGATTCTAAGTTTGAGTCCAGCTTAGACTACACAGAAAAATCCTGCCTTAAAAAAGACACAACAAAAACAAAAAAGAAATTGTCAGCAACAGGAGGGCTGAGCAGTGGAGTAAATATCTGTCTGTCAGCCTGGAAACCTCGAGGCCAAAATGCTTGTGTAAAAGAAAGGAAACATCTTTGAAACTGTGCTCATGGAGAATTACCGAACTTTATTCTATCGTTGAAGCCAACAAAAGCCTGATGCTTCCTTTGTTCAAACAACAGGCCTGGTCACCTCTGATCAATGTCAGTTCTCTTTGGCTCATGCTGATCAGCTTGACTCAAGTTCCAATAAAGGAAGCTTGTCTGTCTAGATCACAATATATGGCTTGGTCTCATTTCTATTTTTCTGCCATCTGATATTAACAGAAGCAATATAGAGTATAACCAAAAAGCAAAGCACACATCTTACCAAAGAGCATGCCAATGCAAGTTTAGAAAACTGAACAGTACCACTGAAATAAATGCATTCACAGCTGGAATCTGTAGGCAGGGCAGTTGGCTGCCAGCTTTCACCCTCTATAATGCAAAAGGTCCAACCAATGGTTCTATATCTATTTCCTGTGAGGGTCCCAAAGAGCACATCACGGGTTCCCAAAGGTCTTTGCCTAGGCTTTCTAGTATACTAAGACTGTAGCACATAATAAAAAATAACTTACCACTGGAACTGCCAGCAGCAGAATACTGAGTGGCATCAAGGAATTTGCGTGGGGTAGAGATGTTTGTAACATCAATCAGAGGTCCAGGAGAGGCATCTTTGCCATGAGAACTGTAGGGAAAGCAAGCAGAAGTTAACCATTTTTTCCAAAACCAACTGAAGTCCCATTTAGTGCCCACCTCTCTACACTGTGGCTTCAAAGACCTCAAATGTACATTGGCAATGCAGCAGTCACCACAGCTGGAAGTTTAAAAATGTCCAAGAGTCCCAAGTGTTTGACACAAATAGGAAGACAACTATCTTACAATAAAATGATGCCAAGCAATTACCCTGACCTCCTTTGTACCTATGGTGAAAATCGCTTACAAGTAAATAAACATCAAGGAACATCATGGCATGATAAGTACTATACCCTCACTTAAACTGTGTTATTCATGTTCATTTTTTTCACTTATTTTTCAGGAATTTACTCCTTTTTGTTTTCTTTAAAATAAACTCATAACTTTTGACAAGTCAAGAATCATTATAAAGACTGACAAATAATTTTTGAAATAGACTTAACATTATTGTTTCAATTAAAGTCTAGGCCCTCATCATATAATTTAAAGTCACTAAAATAAACAAATTGATCACACATGACATAATGAGTATAAATAATGGGGAGGGCTGGAGAGATGGCTCAGGGGTTAAGAGCACTGGATGCCCTTCCAGAGAACCCAAGTTCAATTGCCAGCACCCACCTGGTAGCTCACAACTGTCTATAACTCCAGTTCCAGGAGCTTTAACACCCTTACACAGACATGCATGCAGGCAAACTCCAATGCACATAAAATAAATTAGAAAAAAAATAAAGATTATAAATGTCAATTACATTTTCAAGGTTAACATCTTAATTTACAAGTATCTGGGCAATGTCAAGGCAAGTGCAGCTTGGACCCTAGTCATAGGAAACAATCCTATAGCCACACAGCCTGGACTTCAGAAATTTCTCTAAGTCCAATCCAAGCATACAAACTTCAGTTCTCACTTTGTTCCAACACAGCCCCCTGGAAAGACTTCAGACAGGATGGAGGGACAAACCCAACTGGGAACAACATCTAGACTAGTGGTTCTCAATCGTCCTACTGTTGCAACCCTTTAATACAGTTTCTCATGATGTGGTACCCCAATCATATAATTGTTTTCATTGCTACTTCATGGTGGCTGTTATGAATAATGTGAATATCTGATATGTGACCCAAGGGAAAGGGTCATTTGATGCCCCACCCACCCATGCCACCAGAATTCGCAACACTCAGGTTGAGAATCACTGATCTAGACCCTGTTCATTGTAATATTTCCCCACTCTCTTCCCATGATCCTTCTGGAACCATCTCCTACTATACAATAATCTTGTCTCTGAGCTCCTACATTTTTAACTAAGAAAAAGAAAATAATATTTCAGACACATTTGAAAAAAGCTTTATTAAAGGGTAAAATAATCAAAGAAAGAGCAAAACTAATAATACTAGTTTTATTCAATGATAATGACATATGATCAATCCATTACATAGGACTTGAAGATATTACAGCAGTCGTTAATTTCTCCCTTTCCACTAACCAAGGTGAGGGGGGACAATTACCTGGATACTTTCTGTAATATGTTAGTGGTTGCTGAGTACTGATGATAACAGTGTGACTCAGGTAAACCAAACATCACAGATTCTAATAGACACCATTACTCCCAGCTAATGGGCAACTCAACTCAGGTATATAGGTAATAGGAAATGAATTAGCATAGTTATTTCAAATTAATTCTTGTCTATGAATATAGAACATCAAGTTTCTAATTACCCAATATCACCCTGAGTAAGTCCAGCAGGCTGTATATCTAATGATCTGTTTTTCAGTGTTTTGATTTTTTTTTAAAACAAGGTCCTACTATAGCTTAGCCTCTAAAGCACTGAATTATACTCATGTATCACCACATTTCTTTGTATTCCCAATTTTTTACTCTTAACTAACTTGTCTACCCATATTTTAATCCCAACCAGAAAATGAGGTCTGCATCCCTCCCTAGTCCCCTGATGTGCAGGCCGCAGGACAGGGAAATCACTGAGGAATACAGTGCTACTGAGCAATTTTGAAAAAGTTAATTTCAACTTGAAATGACAGGAAAATTATATATACATACATTATAAATATTTAAAGATCTGTGGGAGTTATTTATATAGTGGGATAAATAAAAATATCAATAAGCAGGAAAACAGAGGCATATGTATAGCTGGAATACAGCCTGCCATTTCTAAAAATAAATAGTACAGGTAGTGCTTTGTGCATGGATGCTGGTATGTACACACTGAGAGTATTACTGTGTTACCTCTCTCAACACAGCTGACATGGGATTCACTTTAGAACATAATTTACAATTACTTTCTCAGGATAAACCTAACAACCCCTGAGAAACACAGGGTCATAAATGACTTGCTACCTTTAAAAACAGAGCTGCCCAACTTCAAAATCAAAGACAGAAGGATTCTCAAATGCCAACCAAACTTTAGAAAATCAATTTACTAAAAAACTCCATTTAGACATAGTGTTTTCTCCCTCTCCCTCCCTTCCCCAACCCTTCCCTCTGTCACACAAACACACACACACACACACACACACACACACACACACACACCTTCCCTTAGGCCTTAATTTTCTCCCCTGTGAGCACTAACTCAAGAGCAAAGAACTCTGGAAAGGATTTCTACATTTTATCTTGGACTTCATTTTTTTTTTTTTTTCTTTTTCTGTCTTTAATATTTGAGACAGTGTGCCACTATGCCCAAGTTCTCTTGGATTTTTTTAATAATTAATTTTTATTTTAACTGCATTGGTGTTCTACTGCCGTGTATGTTGTGTGAGGGTGTCAGATCTTAGCATCATCTAGAAGGGCAGTGAGTGCCCCTAACCTCTGTGCCACCTCTCCAACTTTCTCTTGCATATCTACGGAAAGACTCGGTTTCAGGAAATCCAGAGGCAGTTTCCAGACCTACTCATTTACTGACTACATAACTGAAGCTGAGCAGAGAGGTATATGCTATTACAGCATATGACATTAAATGGACCTTAGCTTTCATTTCAAAAGAGAGAAAAGGACTCCTCTCACCATGCATCAGAGACAAAATTGAAAAGGTATTAATTAATTCCCTCAAAGGTCTTTGACTCTCTCAGAGTTACTTTAGAAAACCAAACAAGACTGTTCTCTTGAAATTTCAAATTAGCAAGAATGCTCTGAATTGTTATATTTTGAAAGAAATATGGAATTATTTTTAAAATAATAATGATAAATTATTTTTAATCCATTCAGAATCATCTACAACACATCAACTGCTACATATCAATGTGTGTTGTGAGTGATGTGGGTTTGGTTACATAATAAACAACATGATGCAAGATGGGAAAACTGTGCAGCAACTTATGCTACACCACAACCAAATCCCACTGCCATCACAACTTACCCAAATCCCACTGCCACTATAATTTATCCAAGGACTTTCTGGCCACAACTGACTACCCAACTTATTTGATGTTTAAATCCATGAAAACTGTTCTCTCATTTTTCTTAAAACAACAGTTAGAAATCCTCTAGCTTATAAAATATTTGTCTTTAATTACAACATATTTCTGTTCCATAGATTAGTAATTGCTAATCCTTGGATTAGCAATATACAGGTTCAATTATTTACAAACTTTACAGGTCCGGCTTATTTGGTTGATTTTATTGTCAAAGAGTGATGGAAATGAATAAAGCATTACACTATGAATCTAATAACTAATGCATCACTTCTATAACCAGAATGGCAGATACAGTGTCTGTCATAGAGCAAATCTTTATAAAAGTTGGTTAAATCAAACCAAGGTGCAAACAGCCTTCAAAGATAACATTCCCTGAGTAAAACATCTTAACCAAACAATGAAACAGGAATCACTGGCATAATAATTCCATATAGTTCTGAAATCTCTCTAAAAATACAGAAAGAACAGTGAATGGTTTAGAACACAGAACATAGTGAGGGGGTAAAAAAGAGCCATGCCCTCAAATGACAGGTCAAGGGTGAAGATACAGTAATATAAAATAGAATGAAGCTAAGCTATTTATGTCTAAGAAAAGAGAAAATAAAAAGAGAACTCAAAGATAAAAATAAATGGATATATAACAGGAAAAGGTAAAAAAGGACAAGACAGAAAGCCAATAATACAAAAGAATACAAAGCATTCTTCACACACTTGCACACAACCATGGATACCAAACCCACAGGGTCTGCAGTGTCCTCCTTTACCAGTACAGCCATTCTCAGAATGCACAAAGTAAGGTCAAGCCATGCATTGGTAGCACACACCTTTAATCCCAGCACTCAGGAGGTAGAGGCAGGCATATCTCTGTGAGTTCATCGCCTGCCTGGTCTACAGAATGAGTTCCAAGACAGGCACAGCTACGAAAAGAAACCCTGTTTCGGGGGTGGGGGGAATGTTCTTCACGCCCCACAATAATCCACAATAATGAATGTTGTACATAACCCTTCTCGGAGCTTTCTATATAACTACATACACGACATACATTTATGCCAGTATGTTAAAGACACACATGCTCATATAACAATGCTGTTTTCAATTGAGCATACAGAGATCTTTCTCGCCCATTTTAAGCCACTGTGTTATATGGAACAAATACATAATTCATTCAACCATGCTCTTTGTGATGAGGATTAAAGGTATATGGAGTTTTGTGGGGGGATAAGGAAGTTCCCCTTTTTGTGGGACAGGGGATATGTCATTTCATTCTTGAGACAGGGTCCGTGATGTCATTCTGTAAATATGTTTCTCATATTGGTTAATGAATAAAGCCCTGTTTTTGCTGTTGTTGTTCAAACAGCACAGGATTTTAAAGACTTCATTCCCAGCATGCACTATTCCAATGTTCTCCTAGTATAAAGCTGGATGAAAAAGCAAAAATGTCTGTATTTCAGCAGGTAGTGCCTGAAAGACCTTCTGAAAAGATCTTACATTTCCTTCCAGGAATACCAGAAGGACACCCGTCACATATAACTCTAAAGATCTACTATCTTGAGATCCAGCCTTACTATACACCAGGTCTACACTAAATTAATGGCTTTCTTGCACATGCCTAAACTGTTAAGTGCAGGGTTGTGCTACAGTCAAGGAATCAAAGCAAATTTTTTTTCTTTAAACCTCTCTTGAGCTATTCAGAATGAATTTGTTAAAGCTGAGGAGATCCTCGTAAATCTCGACACTTCAGTTCCTATATTACTGTATTTGTTCTATCATTGCTGACCTCACTGTTCAATTTAAGAAGTTCTCTTTCATCTCCTTCTGAGAGCACAAGAGTGTCTCTGATCCATATGTAATAGGCCCACAGGAGATACTTCTTGCATACCCTTACAGACGAGGACCGGAACAAACATACAATGGATGAATGAACAAATTTTGATGTTAGCCTCTCTGAACATAGCATATTTGCTATTATAAAATCATCTATGAGTTTAGAGATAGTACAATACAGGATAGGGAAATGAATCTCAATATTCTGGAATACAAAGAATATTTGTTCAAATGCTGTCACTGCCATAAGTCAGCATGGTAGAGAGGCTCCTTAACCTACCTCATCTTGCCTTTTTCTTTGTTACGCTGCACGACTCGACTAGTGGATTTGATGTACAGGTGCCGGTGCAGTTCTTCTATGAGAACCAAGTGCAGGTTCATCTTCTTGCTGTGAAGCTCCAGCCTGAGGTCACTGAGTCCTTCCACCTGGAGCAGTGGGCCCTCCAGAGACTCTACCGCTGACACCTGCAGAGAAAACCATGTAAGTACAGCTGAAGAGCCCTGCCACACCATCCGTAAGAAAACACGGGAGTGACTGAGAACTGTGTGCAGTATCTGACTCTGCAGCATATCGTGTGGATTAACCTAGTATGGCCCTTAAGGTTTGGCTAAGATAAATAGAACAAAGGAGAAAAATAAAAGCCAACCCTGACAAAAGAATACACAAAAGGCATGTAGGCTCTGGGTACTATATACTCCCATGCACATTGCTTGTCCAAGGACATATGTAAAATAACTGTATCAATTCATATTTTCACTAGACTCTCAAATGCTGATGGTTCAGATCAACTTCTTTTGAAAGGAGTGTTTTAGTTTGGGCTGCTTGCTTTGAGACAGGATGTCACTATGTGACCCCCTAGGTGGCCTCAAACTCACAATCCTCTTGCCTCAGGCTCCCTAGCACTGAACAACCACACTGGCTTAAATCAACTTTTAATAAAACTTACTCTTTAAGACTAAGTCAAGGTACATTGCATGAACATTTTATCAGCTTACTCTCATGGTGATCATGAGCCAGACAAAGTTCTACTGGCCAAGGTCACCTATGTATCCATAAAGAACCAAGCTGTCTCTCATTTTTCTCATATTCACATGCATATGGAGGCAAATGCATTTTAGCATGCTTACTACAGGTGGGAAGTAGCGATCATGACCTCTTGATAGCCTGACCCAATCTAATTAAAGAAGGGACCAAAATGGGGAACTGAAGATAACGTACAAAGGAGGTGCTCTTGAGATGGCTTAAGAGATTTTAAAGACAAGAACTGAGTGAGTCAAATCATACAGGAATACCAACAATAGACAGAGAAGCTGAAAGACAGGGAATCAAAAGTGACTGACTGTGAAAATGGAAGTGATATCTGTGAGGCGGGTAGGAGCACATGTGGTATGATCTCATTTCTTTGTGTAAGTTCAATTATTTCTCTATTTGATAATGCTCTTTTATATTTTGAAAGGGAAAAGGTGAAGGGCACACTCTGTATTATTACGCAGGAGTAGGGGAAAAGACGAAGAAGGGAACTTCAAGGCTAAAAGGGGGAAGAGGAAGATGAGGACGGGAAAAAAAAAAATGGTAACTGCAAGCTAAGCCTGAAGAGGAAGAACACACCAGCTTCCTGAGGAACTAAGGTCTATGGCTATTCCCAACTGGGGTTATGCATCTCAATATTTCAGATAGATATAGTTAAAGGCAATAATAGCGCCATTTACAACTGGGTGACATCATTAAACCTGATTATGGATGTAAAAACGACCCTAAAAACTACATCATGCATATAACAGCAACAGTTAATAAAAGTCATGAAATGGTTTAAGAAGTCATCTGGGAGTTTGCAAACAACAAATCCAGAGAGTGGCTGTCAAATACAAACCAGCCCAAAATAACAATAATAAAGTGCAATGGTGTACCCATCAACACATCACTTGTTTTGTGATGTGCTATAATCAAATGTCAGTAGCAAATAAGTTTTCTTAAGTTAAAGCAGGAGAGAATCAAGGAGTGGAAGATTGACAAGCCCTGGGCCAGCTCTGCCCTCTGAAGCCTGCCCATTCATTTTCACAGACTTGCAACCACCCCTGCTCCGACAGCCCCTGGGCCCTGTGCAAGCTGCCAGTAATTCCAAATGGAAAGGCAGACTCGTAAAATGACCAAAGTGTCCCCAAGGAGGAAAAACAACAACAAATTCATTTATACTCATGCCCTAAAATGGATTTTAACTCAAGTCTCTAGTGAAGAAAAGAGGATGCATTAACCTTCGGTGACATCTAGATCCAGAAAATAAAAAATGATTTGGAAAACCACTGGCCCATCATATAGCCTTATCCCTTAAGGTAATTAAACCCAGCCAAAATATTTAAGCTTAAAAACTACCCACTGCACATCCACACTTGACTTGCTTGTAGGAATTGGGAAAAAGGGATTTAATTAATATCCCACATACAAAATTACACCACGATGGCACCTTCCAAAGACACTCAATCAGAAACAATTAAACTTCAGGTAGAACAACACCATTACTGGTAAACAGTGTTCACAGAAATTATTTTTAACAGTACCTACTTATTCAAAGGATACAGAAACTTCAGAGTAGATTTGCATGGTGTTATAATACAGGATTTGAGCAAGGGTTCTTTACCATACCATTGTGGTAATTTAAAGAAGCTTTCGGACTGTTTCTTTGAAGCCAAATATAATTTTATACACAATAGCAAAGGTAGTCATAGAACTTCAAACTTTAAAACCCTCGACATAAAGGACAATAGAGAGCCTCTGTGGTGATCTGAATGAGAATGTCCCCATAGGCTCATGTTTGAATGCTTGGTCTCCTGTGTCAGTGACACTGCTTAGGAAGGATTAGTAGGTGTGGCTCTGTGGAAGGAGGTGTGTTATTGGAGCTGGGCTTTGAGGTTCCAAAAGTCAACATCAGGCTCAATCTCACTCTCTGCCAGAAACTTGCAGATGTATGATGTCTGCAATGCCATGCATGACGACTGCCTGCTGCCATGCTTCCTGCTATTCTGGGGTATGGCTGGGACAGATCTGACCATACTGCTGTTTGTTGGAATATGGAAGTTTGGGGGCTCTGGACTGGGAAAGCAGCTGGATGCTTTAAGCAGGGCTTAATGGGGAAGATAGTAGTATTACCATCAATAAAGCCTGAGGGAGTGGGAGCCTGGAGGAACCCACCTAAGAATCTGGAGGTTGTCCTGCTGGATTTCAGCCTTGCTTCTGAGCAGCATCTCTTCTCTATGCCCCCTTTCCTCCTTTGTTGGGATGATAATGTGCATTAGGTGCCATGGTATGTTGGAAGAATGCAAATTGTTCTTGCCCTGTGAGATTGCTTTAAGTCTCAGAGGAAACTTTGAACTTTTGAAACAGTGTTGAAAATGAAAGACCATGGAGACTTTTGAAGTTTAACTGAATGTATTTTTGTATTATATCACTACTGGCCCATGGGGGCCAGGGATTAGAATGTGATACTTTGAATGAGAATGGCCCATGGGCCCTTATGTTTAAATGCTTGGTTCCCAGGTAGTGGGACTGTTGGGAAGGACTAGAAAGTGAGGCCTTGTTGGAGAAGATGCATTTATTGGGGTTAGTTAGGGCTTTGAGGTTTCAAAAGTGCACACCAGACCCAGTCTTTCTCTCTCAGTTGTGAGCTCTCAGCTACTGCTCAAACATAGTGCTTACCTACCTATCACCCCAATCCCTGTCATGATAATCATGAAGTCTGAAACTACAAGCAAGCCCCCAGTCAAAGCTTCCTTTTATTATAATTAGCCTTGGTCATGGTGTTTCACCACAGCAATACAACTGTAACTAAGACAGTCTCTTATTTCTATAAAAGTCAAGCAAGCTTTGTAATATGTGGAAAATGGTCATTTTACAGATTAGTTCACTTGGTAAGTCAGTCCATTTTCCCATCAAAGGGATAAAACACCTGAAATAAGGAACCTGCAAGGAGTAAATTTTTATTTTGGCTCATGGTTTCAGGTTTCAGTCCTTGACCAAATCCTATTGCTCTGGGCACCATACACATGGCAGGTACATATGAAAGAAGTCACCGGCTCACCTTACAAAGCCAAGAAGCCAATGTTCCCTTCCAGAGCATCTCATCCCATCATCTAATGTATTTCTTTAAGTCCTACCAACTGATGTTTCTACTACCCAAGAGTGTGCCACAGGCTGCTGGTCTTAAGGATATGGGCCTATGAGGGAGTGGGTTGACTCGGATCACTTATCAAATAACATACCAATGAAACAGTAACAGGGACTTAAGGTACTTCCATACTAGAAGATACAAAAACAAGCTGGCTTCGGGAGGTTAGAATTATTAAAATCAGGTCCATAAGTATGGAGGTCAACACTGAATAATGTCACAAATACATATTAAAATTGTAAAACTAGACAGACAACATTCAGAATGTGGATAATTACCAAATATCTAAGCATCACTTCACAGACCAATCGTGTATATTCATAATCAAGTGATCTTAAATAAACTCCTAGCATTCTCCAACACACCACATCATTCCTTAAAGTTAGATTACTACATAATGAGAAGAGTCAATGAAAAAAACTTGAATTTTTCTAACATACATATTTTTTAAATAAATACTGTAGGATACCACTAGCAGGAAACATTTTAAATATTTCCTGGAGATTTTCGTACAATTTTTCATCACATTCACCCTTCTTCTTTGAGCTCATCCCAAATATACCCCGTTTCCCTTCCTACCCAATACTGTACCCTTTCCATTCCCTCCCCATAATCAATGACTCAAATGTTCTTAGATGCATGGCCTAGCACAGGAGCATGGTCAACTTACCTAACACAGCCCAAATGTACAATTACCAAATCAAAGGTTCAAAAGTTTTTGTCTAGTGGTGACATCTATGTCTAAAAAAAAGTAAGATCTTTGCAATGAGGATGTAGTGTTACTGAACTACAGTCATGCCATCTCATGAAAATATTACTAAGAGTACTTTAAATGCTAGAATTATCTTTGGTAAAACTGGTCTCTACATCAGGCCTAAATTCCTATACAATGTGACTCTGCTATCTCTCTGCTTCTGTAAACTTTCTGTGTATGTCACAATTGTAGGTTTGACCTTAAAAACTAACACCAACTGGCAGAGGCTCCTTCCTGATAATCTGCTTGGGACAGTCCTGCTGAAAGTTAATAAAGACTCTATTCAACTTATTCAGGACTCTGGGAGTTTTTCCTTTCAGGTACCCATTAACCAAGAACTGCCATGGCCATTTGTTTCTTTCTACATCTTTATTTCTCAAGTTGATGTTAGCATCAGGAATTAGAGATTATTACTTCATAGTTAATTGTCTGACTTCAGTAATCCTTAAACTTTTAAGTTACCAAAAAAAAAAAAAAATCTAATTTTTGTACTCTGTTGTAAATCAGTGGAAACGTATCAGTAGAAACATTTTATTTATTTACTTCGTTTT